TTCCTGCTGTCTTGAAGGTCACTTGTAGAACTGGAATTCATATACTGCCCCAAAAGCAGGCTCATGCCCAACTCCAAAGCTCAATCCTCTGAGCAATTTTAAGTTCAGAATCTATTATTCTGATTGATTAGAGTTTCTTTATCCAGTTTACACATTTCTAGGTGACTACAGAAAAGTCCAATGATATTGAAGAATGTGGCTTTCTGCTTTAAAACTCCACTGGCTTTTTTTTAATGTCAATTATATTTAGTGTTTATAACACAAAAAGGACAAATGAATGGTATAAAAACTGACCATCCTCAAGAATGAGAAAAGACAAGCCAGAGAAAAAAATTCATAATAATTCATTAAGTTCAAAGAAAAATATTACAGAGTGTAATGTGAAATTCCCATCTTTATTTTCAATATTTTGAGGAAAATAACTACTAGTAAAGACCCAATGCAGAGCTTAAATAAAATTTGTAGCACTGAATAATTAGGAACATACATAAAGCAATAAGTATGCTGTTGATTTCTTAAATTACAGTGAATTATATAAATAAGACTTGGCGTTATGCTTTTATTGTTTCTATTTGCTGTGAGGAAAAATTGTTACAAAGAACAAATGATGATAAATTTGGATAACCTTTATTAACTGATTATAAGTGATCTGAGAAACCACATTTAAACTGTAAAAAGACAGACTTGTTAATTTCTACAATGGTTTCTCTCTTTATAGGACTTCATCAGACTTCTGTGCAATAATTTCTGTGAGTCTGGCACCAAGTTTTTGGATTTTTCATGTGCCAATGTACTTTGCAAACTTGTAATATCCAAACAATGGAGATAAACTAGAAAATAAAACAACCTAGAAAATAGAACCCAGAAATAAATGTTGCAAAATTAGCTCAGCACTGTGCAAAACCAAAGAAATAGAAGAGGTGAAAGAATATAAATTCTCTTGAAGTACTCAGGCTCAAAAAGGAAAATAGATATTTGAAATAGAATAAAAAATACTTAGTTGGAAAGAAAATTTAACCAAACATAATATTTTTTATCTACTTGAGATCAAACTGCTGTTGACAGGATTTTCAGTTTATTGTGATTTGTGAACAATTTTCTACATTGGTAGTGAACTTCAAAGTGTTGCTCCACTGCTCATGGGACAATTTGTTGAAAAGTGAACATGAAATTTTCCAGATTTGAAGTTCACTACCAAAGTAGAAAATTGTTCACAAATCACACACAAGTAGAGCTTTGCTTCCTTTGGCGTGGTGTTCCTCATGCTCAGCATGTCTGGAGAGCTCCCAGCTTACATCCCTACTGTCCTTTAAACCCCACTGATTCCTAAAAGCTTTCCCAACTATTGCAGATTTTTACCCCTCTATCAAAGTTGGTTGAAAATGGCTCCTAAGCTCAGAAGAGGAGCGCACTGATAAGCAGGCAGTATGATTACACAAGCCTCACTTCCTTAGGAAGTCTGTCTAAACCTAAGTTACATTCAGTGCCTATACAGAAAGGTGCTTGGTACGTATAGTGAAGTGAGACAATGACACTGGCAGTTCCTTGCATCCTTTTCCATGTTTTTGTGTTTACTACAGGGCTTTTTTCGAAGAACAATCAGATTAAAGCTAATTTATGACAGATGTGATCTCAATTGCCGCATCCATAAGAAAAGCAGAAATAAATGTCAGTACTGCAGGTTTCAGAAATGCCTCGCTGTCGGAATGTCACACAATGGTAAGTGTGCAGACCGTACTTTAAAACAATGATGTTTCATCTGAAAAATAACATGAAACATGAATATGATTATTGAATGTGCTGCTTTATCATCTAGAGTCTTCTGTTTCTTTACACTAGGCAATTTAGAAATACATATCACAGAGATTGCCTCTGAGTTTAGGAGACTATATGATTGGAGATTAATTTCAATATAAAAATCAGATAGGTAGAGATCTGCACTTATTGATAACACAAGTTTGTTTTACTCTCCATCATTTTTGCTCATTACACTGTTGGTTGTTCTTCCTGAACATATTCCTAGTGTAACTGTTATTTTCAGTTCATTGTCTGATTTTCTGGCAAGGATCTTTTACATACTGTAGCTCAATAGCCCTTTCCTGTAAGTGGAAAACTTGATTTAATTATGAAAAGTGGACTAGAGAATGTACCAAAAGTGTGTGAATAACAACAACTTGAATTTCATACATAGGACACTTATTGAGGATTGTTAGCATCACTAAGTTAACACTTCCTAGAACACAGGATACTTTAACTGAATAGGCCAGACCCTGTACTGTTTTAAAAAAACCTGTCCTCCTCCTTCCTAGGACACCCACATCTGGGCATAGATTCCAATGTGTGGTAAGTAGGAGTGTAGATTTTCTTAGCATGCTCATTCAGCTGTCAGCCTCTCATCACACAGTGTGTATAGCTGTGATTTCTGTGAAATATGCATTGTCTGACGTCTCCACCATCCAGAGGTGAATATTCTCTCCCATCTGTGAACCGTATCCAGCGTTTCCATCCTGAATCTGTTGTAGCCTTAGATAGCAAAGGCATTTCCAATTGAGTATGGTTCTGTGATTGCCTTCTTTACAGTAGGCAAGGAGACAGCATTAAGCACATCACAATGCTGTTCTCTTGCATAGAATTTAGAAGGAAGTCCCTCTGAACTTTAAAATTAATGTATCAATTCATGTGGAAACACTTACTTATGAATGTTTGGACAGAAAGACAAAATGAAGATTTTTTTTTTTTTTGCTGCTTTGCTTTGGCAAAGATGAGTAAAAACAGGAATTAAATGTCATAACATAGAGACTTATGTAATTCTAAGGGTAAAGAATTGCAAACATGACTGGGAAAATAATTTCTCTGCGGTTTTTTTAGAACTTTCATTATTTTCAATATGAAAAATGAGTGTACTGTCCCCAGGAGGAAAGCTTAACTGTGGTTTGCAAAGTTAATACATCTAGTGAATGTAAATTGGTATGGGAAATGTTTTGCTAATAGAAAATACGTTTTTCAAGTTCCTGGGATGCAACAGTAACACTTAAAAATAAATCTAATTTTGAAAGGCTACTGTGGGTATTTTTATAGCAATTTGGGAGGCTTTATTATTATTATTTTCAAGGTGCATGCCAGATTTTCTCATAACCTAGCAACACGGCTTCCAATTATGTCAATGGGAACCACGTACAGTTCTATCAAGAAGGGGAAGGCAAAGACTGTTCTCTCTGGCTTAGTAACATAAAGGACCCAAGAAACATTTTTAAAATTAACATTTCACCTGCATTTTTTTCCTGTTCAGCCACTGCAAAGGCAGAAGCTGTGACAACAGCAGGGTCTGATGGCTATGGGAGTCAGGGGCAGGCATGGAGAGGAGGGAGGAAGGGCAAAGCCATTTGTCCCGGGGTGTGAAGGAACACTTTCATTTGCTCTCACCATGAGTTCACCTAACAGGGAGTTAGTAGAGTTTATATTCAAGTGTTGGCTTCTACATTTGCCTTTTTTGCCCACTCTGGTTACATTACATTGCATGAAACAGCACTATAATTCCAACATCAATTATAAACAAACAAATTTATAAAAAAGAACTGAATTTTGCCTTTGAAAACACAGGCCTGTATAAAGAAGCATGCAGAAATGCAACACTGTCTGTTGTCAGTGGCACTGAGACACATCTTTGTTACATCTACGTATTAAAATTCATCCACTTGGGTAGTGAAATTTTCTGAATTTTAAATGCTTGGAATCAAAATGTGAATTATTTTCACCTGAGAGTTCCAATCCATGACTGTCTTTGCATAGATATATTATTGCAAAATGAATAGCACACTTACAAAAACAGGGAATGCAAGGAGCCACTCAGCAGCTACAGCCACATTTTTTCACTTATAAATGCTACATACCACTTGGCTGAAGGTTAAAAAAGACAGTAGTGCTTTGAATATTGTTTTCCTTTCTTTCTCTAGCCACAGTGCTGCTCTGTTTTTAACCCTTAGTAGCTCATTATATTCTGAAGTACCACGAAGCAGCAACTTGGTTCTTTTATTTTAGAAACTGAATTATTTTTTTTCTCTTCTACTAAAAGTACTATTTATATAAAAGCACCTACTGTAATGGGAAAAAGAGCACACATGGTAATATGTCTTTATTATCAGTTCTGGGAGCTGACAATTGCTCAATCTGGGCATGTGCCTCCAGTAAAGTCAGACAGATATCTGCCCTGGCTCTATCTCGTGTTTTCTAGCATGAAGAACTGTGTTTATAGTCTATTTGGGGATTCATTTATCCTCAAAAATAATCTAGACAATCAGAACAATGGAGATATCATTTATCCTCAAAAATAATCTAGACAATCAGAACAGTGGAGCAATATACAGAATAGTCTATAAGCAATTGTAGTGACCTCCCCAAGCCATAAAATGTGGCGTAAGGATAAATAGTCTCATCTTCCCACAGAAAGGCAAAGGATATAATGTAGCATGTAGTGTCTTACTAGATTCACCATCGGTTTTATGTCATTAACGTTTGGAGGACACTGTAAATGCAAATAAAAGAGATAACTGCTGAAGGAAAGAAAGAGAGATCATACGTTCCAGCTGCAGGCATGGGCCCAAACTTGCACAATCTTCTGTTACTGTGACAGAAATTGCCATCTGAATCCCTTCCACCCTTGCAGCATGAGCAGCAAGCTGTATTTTAAGATCTCTTATACCAGCTCGCTGGCTTGTCCTTGCCCTTTCCACCCCTACAGATTCTGCCTTGATCCACTTCCCAGGCTCCTGGGAGATAAGGAAGCTTGGCCTGCTGCAAGGGTAGATGGAGGAGAGAGAAGATAGATAGAGTAGCAAGGAGGATAAGTGGTCCAGGGAAATAGAAGATGAGGTCAGGGTCACAGGAGGGAGGTGGAGAAAGAAGCAGAAAAGGGAGAAGATCATGCCACCAATCCTTGAAGTTTTCCTCAACCACCTGAAACGCTGTGAACTCTTAGCCACCCTGTGAACTCTCCTTTTTCCACCCTAACCTCTGTAAGTATCATCAATCCCCCCTACTTCTCTCACCCAAAATCCCACTTTCCAAATTCCTTCCATAAACCTCCTGGTGCCTGACCTCTCCCTGACTTTTATCTCAGTCCCCTGCAAATGACAATGACTTCTCCAAAAGGAAGCTACTAGGCTAGTACCACAAAACTGGATTTTGCCCCAAATTTTGCCTGCAATACTAATAAACATTGAACAGAATATGCTGCAACTAATATAATATTTATAAAATATATTCTAAACAGAAAAAATATCCTTTTGCCTATCAAATTACAAGATAGGCATGTCTGATTCACAACTCTCTAATTTTATGTTGTTAATGAGCTGTTATATTTAAAATATACTTTTGGGTCCCGATCACCTTTTGTTTAGGAAGCTTTATTCTCATAATTCATGAATTACATCAGAAAACTTTCAAGACACGTATGTTCATAAATAGGGTCAGCATTCTAAAGTGGATCATGAAAGATCCACTGCTATTAATCCATCCTAAAAACACCTATTTAGAAAGAAAGAAACAAACAGGTGTGGAAATGATAGATTGCTAATAAGCATACAAAACCAAAGATGCATAACAAACTTTGCCCCAAGCACAGTTTTCATACACTACAAACGATAAAATATTACAAGATTCCTGAGGGATTTCATTGTTGCTAAATTATTTTATGTAAAATTCTGATACTATGACAGCGGGCAGCAAAATACACCTTAAGGATTTCTATATCACAGAAAACCGTAAGATCTCATTTCCATTCTTTGTGAAGTCAGTTCCTGTGTTTAGAAGAAGACTTGGTCCTATTTGCTGACTGCAAACTGCTAACGTGAGTGGCTGAACTGCCAGACGTGATCTGATAGCTGGCAGTCCCACTCCAGCGGGTTGTTACACCAACAATGGGTGTTTTAGGCCAGTAAGTGATAACCCCCCACTCTACCACTTTGATTAGCTAATCAGCTAATCATTCTTTGATAACACGGGTAGTTTGTTCTGATTACGTGGACCAATTAGAACAAGTCCAGAGGAGGCCACCAGGATTATCCGAGGGCTGGAGCACCTCTCCTATCAGGACAGGCTGAGAGAGTTGGGGCTGTTCAGCCTGGAGAAGAGAAGGCTCCAGGGAGATCTTATAGCGACCTCCCAGTACCTGAAGGAGCTACAAGAAAGCTGGGGAAGGACTTTTCATAAGGGCAGTTAATGACAAAACAAGGGGAAATGGGTTTAAGCTGAAAGAGGGGAGGTTTAGATTAGATATTAGGAAGAAGTTCTTCACTGTGAGGGTGGTCAGACACTGGCCCAGGTTGCCCAAGGAAGTTGTAGATGCCCCCTCCCTGGAAGTGTTCTCGGCCAGGTTGGATGAGGCTTTGAGCAACCTGGTCTAGTGGAAGGTGTCCCTGCTGCTGGCAGGGGGGTTGGAACTGGATGATCTTTAAGGTCCCTTCCAATCCAAACCAGTCTATGATTCTATGATTTGATATAGATGTCATAGCTTTCTGTGCCATGAGTAAGCTTTGTTATATCTAACTTAATTCTGAATGCAGCGTGCAAGCATTCAAGAATAGAAGTTAATGCTTATAACCTAGTTTACCGTATAACAACATATATGTTAATTTTCTTTCAAAGTAACCTCAGCATTTTAACAGACTTGCTACATAATTCAGCATTACCTTTGGCACTAGTACTTACTTCTTTTGTTGTTTGTGGGGTTTTTTCCTTTTTAATTTACACAGAAGAAATCTAAAATAATCTTTTTTAAAAAAAGAAAAACAGGAATCTGGTCTTTGTAGAAAAATGAGCATTATGAGGCCCAATGACAAACCTGTGCTAAATGTGCCTTAAAAATATATAACAAATTTCTATGCATCTTTAATCGTGTATCATCTGATATAGTGTCCTTGGGCTTTTACTGCAAAACAGATTATACATAAAGGTGCTTGCATTCATAAAATTTAGCACAGTGAAGACAATGCTCTGATTTAATATTAGTGTTCACAGGGGTTTTTGACTGTGTATATAAAAATTATACAAATTCTCAAACACATGGAAACAAAAAATCAGATTCCAACAAGGAAGAGTACTGAAACAAATAGAAAAGTAATAAATAATTGTTCAGGTTTTATAGCACTTCTCATGCAGAGATCTCAAAGCACTTTTCAGGAAAATAAGTATCACCACCAAAAGCAAAATAAAAATAAATAAGTGAAAGAAGGCATCTACTCTAGAACTATTAACAGTAAATGAAATATTAACAGTTTGATGAACTCCAATGTAATCTGTAAATTAGTGGAAATAATTTTATATTAGAAGCACTAGGGCTTATACCACATGCCTACTTTGCAAAGATAATTTGGTATCCTCTGTTGGGGATAGATAAGCACACCAGAAACAAGATTCTGGAACACCTTTAGTCAATTTTGTTTTCCATTAAAAAATAAAGACAATCTAAGTTGTCATTTTTTTATAAATTCTGCATCAGTACTATTGTAAACTTCTACCAGAGAACTATCAACATTATGTTGTTTAGCAATACCAAACTGGTAGCACAAATGCTGTCATTTACTTTCCAAGCGACTGAGACTCTTGGAGGACAGGAGACAAGAGACTCTGCACAGGAGTCAGGGTACAGGATAGGGGCATATTTAGAAAACATATTGCACGTACTATGACTGTCATTTCATACTCAAAACTAAAAGTAAAACAGTTTATACTGGCAGCACCAGTGCAACAGTAGATAGATACAGTTATGTGGAAAACTGCCGTAAATTTTAAAAAATAAATTAATCCTCCTCAATTCTGATAAACTTCCTTGAAAATACCCGGCAGTAGTCTGTTCACCCATGTATGAATTTCTAGCAAAATGGTTTTTACCAGTCTGGTTTCTGTTCTTTAAAAGAATACAATTATACAGCTTAGTCTGTTATTCTCTAACGATAAACCAATCTCTGTTTTGAAAATCCATGATCTTTTCAGTCAAATCTCCACATTAAACAATTCTGTTTCTGTAGCCAGTGTCATAGCTGGTACATACACTGTGGTATATCATTAAGAATGTTCCAGTAGATACTTGATTAAAGGACGGGAGAAGAAAAAAAAGGTGGGAAAAAAGCAAATAAATTCCTATTGTTTTTAATACCTTGGGGAAGTATATAAACTATTTTAGAGCTAAGTTAATATTAAAACATAGGAAGAGGAAGCAATACACTGTGTCGTCCCCCCCCCCTTTTTTTTTAATCCCTTGTTTGTAAAAATAACCTTGATGAAAGGGGGTCTTATATCAGTGAGATTCCAGATTATAAACTTGTTTCTGCAAACCCCAGCTCTCAGGTACAGGCCCACAACAGAATCACGTCTCATAGTGCTGCTCAGTCAAGCTCCGTTTCCATAATACTTAGAGTTAGTATGCTTATAGAATGAGCTTATAGAATTCACATCAGGCAGTTAGGGATGCATATTTATTTTACACACATTATAAAGATATTGTATATAATGTTATAAATGTATTCCCTATAAAATATCAAAATAGTTTACAAGTAGGATTCATCATAACAAAATATTTTCCTGGCCCAAAGCATCTAGTTCCTGATACAATTGTGAAATCTCTCAAATGACGTGTTCCTTACAGTTCCTAAGTGTTTCTTACTATGTGTTAAGAAGTCTTCAGGTCATAATAAATTGCACTTCATATGTTTCTGGAATTGATCAACATTTTATAGACACAGGCAACTCTGATCTTCCTTTTTTATTAACAATCCTTTATATGAGGCTAATATTTGCCTTGCTTTCTTTCCAGATTAAAAACTGCACTGTAATAGTCTGAGAAGTCTTGCTAGACTTCACTTAGGTCTTCAGTTTGCAAATTCTTCCTCAAAAAAAGGTGGTGAGGAGGAGTTGAATTTGTTGGCAAGAACCCAATCAGAAGCATCAAAGTATCACAAGATTTTTTCCATTGATGAAGCTACTGGAAAATGCACATTTGAAAAGTGAAGAATTTAATCATAAAACATAATCCTATGAATGTCACATACTTAATATTAATTTAATATTAAATCTGAAACCGGGTTTAGTGAAGGACATAATAGCTTTTAATGAAAATAGGAATTTAACAAATGTCTAGCTGCACTGCTCAACATGGACTACATTACCACATTTTAGCTATACATGCTGGCCCAGTAGCAACTTCTTACAATATGTATGTGAGAATATATTTTAGCTTTATTATGTTGATGACGGTTTGATTTTTTTTTTTATTGAATCAGTCCTTAAGTATTAAAAAAAAAAAATCTGTAGATGCTATAAAATATTCTCATGCTTCATTCATTTTACATCTTCAAGAATGTCTAAAATGCAAATATTAATATCCTGGGTTTAATGTTTTCAGTATCCATGCATGTTTTTTTAAAAAACTCAAAGGATTTTTGTGTTAACTACAAATAAGAATTTCAATTATGAGAGAATCCATTCTAACTGCAAAATGAAAATACTGAAATGGTCTTGATTCACAGTGTGTGTGGAAGCATATGTAGCTGAATTAATTCATTTGTAGTTATGCTGAATTTTTTCATCTTTTTATTTAGGTTACACTAAGTGTAATCTAAATAAACTAATATCAACTCTTGTTTGATATCAGTTCTTTATACCTCACTAACATTACCATACGTTCATCCATTCACATTACTTCTTTACGGAATGGTGGCAGTCTCTTTGAGCCATTATAGTATATCATATAAACCACCATGAAGTTAATAATTTTTCTTTAAATGTTTTGCTGTCAGAAAAAAAGGAGAGCAGTGATGATTCCCTGAAAACTATTCTTAGTAGCTGATTAAGAATACTTAATGTTTCCCATGAGAGAGAAATGCATATGCCATTGTATATATGATCCAAAACAAATATCTGTTGGCAATTATTCAAAAGTTCCCTATGAAAAAAATGATAGGCAACAGACATTTTCTGGGGAAAAAAAAATTAGAGTATGTTAATTTACACCTAATTAACTAAGTTTCCTTTCCTGATGATTTTTATTCTGACATATTAACTCTAAGAATACTCAAGAAAATATGAAATATACAGCATACATCATCCAGAGACTGTTTGCTGAAAGAGAAGTGTAGTACAGTTGTAACAATAAACAACCTTGTTTCAACAGCCATGAAATAAGAGAACTGACCAAGAAATATAATATATGACAAATGGGGTATTTTTTTATGTTGTATGGTACAACTATTTATTCTTGAAAAAAGTCATTTTTGTCCATCAGCACGCTGCAAGCAAACTCATAAAAGGAAAGTGGCTGGTAGTTTCTAAAATAAACGTCCCTCGTATAATCATTCATATGTGTGATCTTACTAGCACTTGTACTTTATCCAGACACTAATCACTGAAAAAATATTTATAATATTTCTATTTCCTCCTAAGGCCAAAATGCAAACCTTTATTTCTTCCTTCTGTTTTTTTTATGCTCTTTTGTTCTGTTTTGTTTTCATAAAATAAAATAAATTCTGTTTACAGTAATATCATACGATAAATCAGGCTTGATCTTGATGCCTCATTTGAAATATTTTCCAAGTCAGTCTCCATATAAATAAATAGTGTCTTGGCTAGTAGGTACAGAGGTGTAAAAGTAGGAGGTTTACAGCCTGCCTTACATTGGTTTTGGGCAATTGTGAGATCATCTGACGAGGTAGAACCATTTCCTGTTCTTTCAATACTGCGTGCACATGGAGTTACATGAAGAACTCATCCTTTTCTGGCATTTTTTATTCCTGGCACAACCTTCTTTCTCATTCCTTAATTCTTTTGGTAACATTTTATAGCACTTGCTACATTACTGTTCTGTTGAATTTATTCCTGCAAGGCATGTGAGTGTTTTGTTTCTAAACAAATGAAGAATCTGAGATCCGTATGTAGATTTGCCCAAAATAATGCAAGGCTGAAAGGTGGTTCCTACCCTAAGCCAAGAGAATTTTAATACCTTAAAGGTTCTTTACATTTTATTTAGATTGGAGGCAGAATCAGTGGTTTTCACCAATGTTGTCAGGTGAGCTGACAACAGGTTTGTATTTTCAAGCAAGATATTTTAATCTCACTGTTTGGGCTCATAGATTGTTTCCTCTTTGAGATTTGTTTGTTTACATTTCTTTAAAGCACTTCAGCTGTTTTGCCTATATTACCAGAGAAAATAATCTTTTTCTTGCTTGCCTAAGTTACTCTTTTAATAAAAACTTCAAGAGCTCACAACAAAAGGTGACATAAAAAGCTATTCAAATATGCTTTTTTAGGTGCATCTATAGCTATAGTAATTGCTTGTCATCTTCTTCAGCCATCAGGTTTGGGCGAATGCCACAAGCGGAGAAGGAGAAGCTCTTGGCAGAGATTTCCAGCGACATCGACCAGTTAAACCCTGAATCTGCTGATCTACGAGCACTTGCCAAGCATTTGTATGACTCATACATAAAGTCCTTCCCTCTGACCAAAGCCAAGGCGAGGGCGATCTTGACAGGAAAGACGACAGACAAATCAGTTAGTTCCCTCTGTTGATTTTTTTTTTTCTTTCTTTCTTTTGAGTAAATGATTTACCACACTGACAACACATCTTTTTTTAAAAACAAAAACCACCAAAACTTTGCTGCTGGCAGTTACATATTTCAAGCTGTGTCTGAAACACAGGAAATATTTTTAGATAGGATAAGTAAACATTATTTGAAAAAACTCCAAGTTCACCTAATAAAATACTTGAAACCCGTACAAGAATTTGAAGGTCATCTTAACCTTTTTGTATTCTCTGATCCACTCTTCCCGTTTTCCTTCTCCTTCACCAAAGGTTATCTTCCACACTATCTAAGGGGGCTATCTAGCTGTCAGGAATGGGTTGCTATCCTATGCAAGCTTCCGTATCACAGCACGTTACCAGTACTAGCTGTACCCAGAGGAATATTCTTTTTCAGAAGTGTCAAATGATTCCCAGTACCAACACCGTTGCTAGTCTTAACTATGATCCTTATTCTTAGGATGCTCTGATGACTTCCTGCATTTAACTGGGTTATCTGGGATCAGATCAGTATCCTGTCTTGGTGCAATTTGAATTTTAGGAGAATATACAAGAAAATCTGTGAAAAGTAAGAAATAGGGATGCGTGTATTTGTGGGTTGCTTTGGAAACTTCACTGGTAATTCAAAGCAATCTTCTGTATCAATAAACAAGATCTGATAATTATGGTAGGTTTTAAATTCTGTCACTATTTTAATACCTAAAGAGCAAAATAGTTTTCCAAAACTTGTAACTCTGAGTTTGATATATTTTCTGGAAGCATCAGCAGAAATTTTATTGTCAGGATTACAACAGAGACTGTATTTTATTTTCTTGAAGAATTTCAAAGACGGGGAAGAATTTGGAGGTATTTTAGACTTTCTTCCTTTAAAGGCAGTTAAAATCATAATTTAAATAGTCTCTAATTTGGTTGTACCCCTCACACAAAAACTTTGGATGTGGTGGACACTTACAATTTGAGTAACTTTTCCATATATAAATTTTGAACTAGCATAGTTTATTTATTCTGCAGAAAGCTGATATGCAAAGTCCACTTGAGGGTCACTGCTTTTTCCAAGTCTTTCTGCAATTCCCTCTTTGTATCAGAAACAGAGGTTACTGGGAAAGAAGTAATATAGCAATTTATTTTTTTATAAGCGTGTTCTTAATAACTATATACCTGCATTAGGAGAGAGAATAGAAATGGGGTGTGTAATTATATATCTTATTTACTCCTCTTCATCCTAAAAATGTCATCAGGAGGCCTGCTCCTTGTGTCTGCAGCTGCCCACTCTGGAGCGTCAGAAGTCTGGGCAGGGTTACCTACAGTGCTCTCATCTTCTGTTTTTCCAGACATGTTTAGAAATCTGGGGAGTTTGTTTCTGAGGGCCCGAGTGCATCCACAAATCCTGCTTTTACTCTGTAAGGTTCTATGAAGTTGTCGTAGAAATCAGTTGTCCTGTTGTTTGCTGCTCTGCTGTGCTGAGTTCTTAACAAATGTCTGGGCTTACCCAACTTGGTCACGTCTGGAAGTGACACTAATGCAATACTCCTGCAGTAAATACATAGCATGCCATCAGTGATGTTCCTTTTTATTTAAAGTTTTAAAATTTTACCAGATTAGACAGATTTTACAGCAATAAAAAAATAGACATAGAATTCAGCTTTTCCTTGCTGCAAATTTTCAAGTCTTTTTAAAAAAATAACACAGTGGCACACAGTATTTAATGGTTACAACTTCTGTGTTGTTTGAATGGTAATGGACTTTGTGCTCTACAACATCAAACTGTTTACTATGGGCACAGTTTAAATTTATGCTATTTTTAAATTGCTATATCATCTGCATTAACTGAAAATGATTGGATACGCTAAGTGAGTGTGTCAAAACTAAAATGACTAACTCCTCTTCTGGGACATACGGTGCTCATTTGACGTAAGAGTCTACTCACAAAGTTCATATGAATCTTTATATTTAAACTTTCTTTAGCTATTTTGAACTTTTCCTTGATTTTCATCTTTCAATGTCAGTAGGCCAGTGGCATAGTATGGTCTTTCCAAAGCACATGCACCGAATAGATGAGTTTTTCTTGTACTTGGTGCTCCCTCTTAAGATTTTCTAGAATGAAAAGAAAGGAATAACCTACTAGTACTAAAACATGAATTTAAAAAGCCTCTTCTACAGTCTTGTTACACCATTATTTCACATATGTACATGAAATATGCATGTACATATGTGCAGTTATATATAAAATATATTTTCTTCTGCCAAAATTGCATTATATATTGAAAAATACCTTAACCTCCTGCATTTTCTCAGTGCAGCGTGTTTATTTTTTGTTTCACACCGAAATCCTAGTGTAAGTGGAAAAATAGTATCATACCTCACACTCTCTTTAGCTGAATCTCATGGTCTGGAGCTATGTTTGCCTGTGATTACCGTGCAGGTGACAGCAGTAGTTTAATTGGACTTGTAAGCAGCAGAATATTGATTTAACTAAACCATTTTGAAAGCTGAAATCCTCTTGTGTGGATGCTATTATTTCAGTTCACAGATAGACCTCTGTTCTCCAAGCAGCTGTATCGGTTAAAGACAAAACTGTCAGCAGTCATCCCTCCCTCTCTTCCTAGGGAAAGCGGGTCAGAGCTTTGTGTGCGACTTAGACCCACCACTTTCACACCCTCCATCTGCAGAACCATGGGAGATGGGAGTAGTAACCTCTAGCTGGCGGGTGGTGATAGGCACCTGCGGGCAATACCCTCTTCAGAAGGCACCACTGGACTCTAAAGAAAGTAGCTATTTCCAGTTTTAAAAACTGCAAAATAATTTAGCACTGAATAGACTTCAAAATGGGTTTAATCAAACAGGAACAGAATCATTTTCCAGAAGCTGATTCTGTGGGAGAGGACTGCTGACTACTCGTAGGAAGGCTTGTTAACCTCTCCTGCAGCTTATAGTGAATATAAAACCATAAGAATAATTACCCATATGAATAAGGCATTAGAATCTGTACTCATAAAGGATCTTAAATTAAAAAATGCATTTCTCTAGTCCAATTGTTGGCATATAATTTCCAGTATTTTAATTAATTAATCAAGTATGTTAACAAACCTACTGATATCAGTAGATATTTTTTCAGTGCAGCAATGAACTATTTAGTTATTTGTCCTCTAAGGAAAAGATTCTTCAGATAAATTCAATAAATCCTTACTTAACCCCTTCTTTAAAACCAGGAGCTTCTTCTGCATATTCTAAAACAGTTTGTTTCCAGATCCTAACAAAAGTTTTCTTAGCATAATTCTTTCTAATCTGCATTCAAAATTGATTTATTCCAGTTGAGTTTATTTCACAGTCGGACTCGTTTTTGTGTTCTGAATTGTGCCGCTGTAGTTTGTATCACGTTATTTGTGATTTCTTTCTCACTGGCAAGTTGTTTGAGTTTAAATATATCCTAACTTTGTTATTTTTAATGGAGTTACCAGCAAAAGGTTAAATTTATATAATCAATACCATAAAGTTGATATTACGTGCAACACTTTCTAGAAGGATAGAACATGACAGTATGTGAAGTAATAAAAATGTGAATATACTGTGTCTTTCTACAAAAAAGAAGTTATAACTTCAGAAGGGCAAACACATCACTGTAGACTTAGTAGATTCTATTTTATAGAAGCCAGTAAATTCAGGTAAAAGGAGAAACATTTTAATCTTTTGTTAATAAGCATTGCAAACTTCAAATTCTAGTATTACAGAAACTCTCTAAACAAAAACCAAAACAAAACAAAAGGCAAAAATTTTGGATATTTAAAAATAGTGTTCTTTACTCTCCCTCCCCTAATTATTAAAAAAAGTATCAGCAAAAGTCCTACTTTTAGAATGTGGATTCACAGAACGTGTGAGAAATCCTTAGGAAGTACTTGTCCTTTCTGTAAATCATTTTAACATTGGGAGGATATTTGCTTTAATAGGCCTATGAAGATTTAACCCTTTTGGGTCAACTACCCTTGATGTATTCCTCACAGATTTCTAAGTGTTTTCTGATGAGTTATACCTCAGTGTGCTACTTCAGTTTCTCAGGAGAAAAGTGTTCATAGGAAGGACATTTGAAAATGAACTGTCTTTTCCTTTTCTTTTCAGCCATTTGTTATTTATGACATGAACTCTTTAATGATGGGAGAAGATCAGATCAAGTGCAAGCACGTGTCACCGCTGCAGGAGGAGAACAAAGAGGTAGCAATTCGCATTTTCCAGCGGTGTCAGTTTCGCTCTGTGGAGGCAGTGCAGGAGATTACAGAATTCGCCAAAAACATTCCAGGTTTTGTGAATCTTGACCTGAATGATCAAGTAACTCTCCTGAAATATGGGGTCCATGAGATCATATATACTCTCCTGGCTTCTTTGATGAATAAAGATGGAGTTCTTATATCTGATGGACAAGGATTCATGACACGGGAGTTTCTGAAGAGCCTGAGAAAACCTTTTTGTGACTTTATGGAGCCCAAGTTTGAGTTTGCTGTGAAGTTCAATGCACTGGAATTAGATGACAGTGACCTGGCAATATTTATAGCTGTCATTATACTAAGTGGAGGTAAGTGCTCTCTTATTCAATATTATAATTTATATAATAGATTTGACACTTTTAATTCTTGTCCAAACAGGAAAGTGCTCAGCACTACGGGATGGGAGTGCCTTTATTTACACATAGTTTTTTATTAATTTTCAGCTGCCTTGATGTTGTTCGCCTCTTTTCAGTTTCAGACAGAGACTGAAAATGTAAATGACGATATTAATGATGGAGCTGGAAATGTCTGCTGAATCAGCAGTTCATTTAGATAGAAAACAAAATCAGGACTATCTTTTTGAAAACAGGAAGGGTGGAATTTCACTGGCAAGAGCTTTTAAAAGTTAAAATTCTGCATGAGGATTTTTTTAAACCTGCAATTAGATTGCATGGCTTACTAATTGTACGCAAATAGCTTTGACTCCATAAGAATTTCAAAATATATGTGGCATTTGGCTTACAGGATTTTATGGTGGGGTTTTTTAATTGTTATTATTTTTTCATTCATGCAAGGTTTTGTTTACCTTTAAAAGGGGGGAAAAAAAAGAATGCATTTCTCAGGAAAATGGTGGTCTCCTAATGCCTGAGAAAAACAGACATTGTGCATCTGCTCTGTTCAGATTTCCTAAGCTGCTCTATTTCTATTAAAGTTTACACATTATGCTTTGAGCAAAGCATGAATCTGAAAGCTCAGGTGTCAGACTACATGAATTCTAACACTTCAGGAAAAAATACCCTGAATTCTCAGCTTTTTTGAAGCCAGTCAATACGTTCTATCTGATTCTGAAGTGATGTACCTATTACATTTTGTGAATTAGTGACTGCTACCCAGATTTAGTTCACTTACAAACCTTCCCATGGAGAATCTGAGATACCAGATACCTGTCAGGTCAGATTGAAGGTTTTTTACTTTGACCAATACTCTCAAGTTAGTGATGTTGCAGGAAGAATATTTTACCCAAGTGATTTGTGTGTATTTTGGCTTAGGACGGTTCTGCAGATATCAATGGGAGGAATGTGCTGAATGTTGTGAATTCAGATCCTCTACAGAGCAATGCAGAGTATGTTGTTATTAAATTATGTTTAAGCAATCAAACACAACCACCACAGTCTATTGTTTTAAAAACAAACATTCTGATGAGAGTGCATTGTTACCTATAGCGTCATTTCAGATCATGATCAATTACTTCTGGCACTGTGTTTCTTTCACTAAAAATGTGATATCACAATATGGTTTATTAGACTAACTAAATCCACTTCAGACAGGTTCAGTTTCCAGAAGCCATGTTACTGGGCAAACCTGTGAACATAATGATCCTTAAGGATTCTGGATTAATTCAGGAAGGGAAAATACGTTACTGGTATATTTTTGGTTGGCTTTGATGGGGAGGAGAAATTATAAATTGAAATAGAGCCGCTATGAGGGCACTACCCAAAAACATGCCAATATTTTGCATTTTCTAATATAATGAAATTTGACAGATGAGAAACAGGCCTCTCAAAATCCACTCCTAATGGAAAAAAAGGTACTCACAATCTGCAAAACTAGGTCTGCTATGCTCCAGTGATGCTTGGTTCACATTAGAGGAAACAGGTATGATGTAACCACTCTTACATATGAGATATCAGGACGACAATGATCCACAGAAAAAAAATGACTATGCTGAAACAGATTTATCAACAAGTCTTTTTTTTAAGAATAATTTGTAGATAGAGATCCGTAAAGAACTACCTGAATTTTAATAGTTGGTTTTTAAATAAATGTGAAGCAAATCCATATAAATATATAAATCCATATAAATATAAATCAGTCCTTTCTAGAAAGATCCTTTAATTTCTTGACAAAAAAGATCTTCCATGCCTTTATTCAGAATTTTTTTTTCCAAAAAAGCATAATAGTTATTTATAAAAACTGAGTTTATATTTTGAAAACAGTTAAGCTTTGCTGCCAATTAGAGAGTGGCTTTTATCATGGAATTTACAGTCAGCTATGAGATGTATTGAACTGGATGCATTCTGTGGAACTATAATATCTTGTGTGGTATGGAACTGAAATGCTATTTCTCAGATGTCTCAGATGCTGTTGTTTCTGTAAGAGCTTTGTTCTTACAGAACTTAATTTCTGTAAGAACTATATGAATATCGAACCAGGATGATTTAAGTGAAAACAGGATTTCAAAACCAGCTCGTATTACCATATTACCTAGACTTTGCTAGCTGCAGGAATACTGTAATCTTGAAGTCACTTCAAGAAATCCTGTGTACAAATGTCTTAAAAGAAAACTAGTTTGTGAAACAATAAAAAGATCCCAGCCAAATGCTCTAATTCTAAGTGAATCTGTCATTGCCTAGCGAAATTATGTTAGTTCTGCTGGCTCCACAGGCGCTATCTTTAATGCAGCTCTAAAAAGAAGAAGAGAGAAGGGAAAGTTTTTGGAAAGAGAAAGATAATTCCAGATGGAACATTAGATGTAGAAAGCCTTTCATTGTGAAGTAAGTGTTTGGAATTTGCCACAAATCCTATAAAATAGTTTGGCCTTTTGGTGTCGAAACAGTTGCTTTTGTGTTATATGTAAAAAGGCAAAATGCCTAGATAATAGTAATATAAAGCTGACAAATTAACTATGAGAGCAACGAAATGAAAGTGCTCCCACTTCCACAGTCGTTTTATTATTTTGAGCTACTGAGTGCTGCCTCGCTCTGTCTCAATGATTCCAAACATTACTCTGAACTCATTATTACAAAGCTGAAGTGTTGTTCTTAATGTTGGTGTTTTGCACTTTAAAATGATATTGTAAACAGCAAAAAAAAATCTCATATTCTGAATTTAATGCTGATGAGAGAGAAAGAGAGACTGTGTGTGTGAGCAGCAGGGTATTACCCCATTTTTACAAAAGAAATATTTTCTGCCATTATCAGCAATGCCAAACTCTCATTAGAACATTCTTTTGCTTATGGTAATTTTGAAAAATATGCTTTGGTAAAATGAGATTCAGAAAACCTTTTCAAGAAGGTTTCCTCCTTGTTGTATTCCTCTGTGCCACTAAGGCATTGCCTCAGCCCCTAGTGAGTGCCATGGTATACATGTTAAAGAACTTGAAGTGTCTCTAAAAATATTATATACACCTAAACTGAAGATTAAGTCTGTTATATGAAGGTTTAAGGAGAACAAGTTGAATGTCTGTGTTTGGGCAGCAAAGATAATAGTCCAGGCCTGATTGGGATAATCCACATTGATAAACGGAGCAAGCTCGCTCAAGCAGGTGGCTGTCAAATAAAGCAGCAGCTCCAAAGGTAGTTTTGCAGCATGTTTAGATGTCATGGATGGACATGACCTTTTGTATATTATCTCCTGCAGTGTTTAGGATATAGCAGTGTTTGGGAATTCTAGCAGGGTGTACCTGTGAAGAACCAGAATCTGTTAGTCAGAATGAACTCAAACTAGTGTTTGAATTTAGAAATGTTGCTACATTCACTTTTTCTGTTTTCTGCGTGTGATCTTTACAGTAAATTTTGAGCTGTAAATTTACAGTAAATTTTTTTGCTTTAAACACTATATTCAATAATTTTGCTACAATCTGAAATTAGCAAAATTTGAAGTTTTATCACTCAATATTACCAAGAAATAGTTCATATTTGACTGCTACACAAATCCTGCTGTAGCAAACCTGTTAGAGCAAAGAAATGCTTCCTAATCAGACCAAGAACTGCAGACAACCACTGTGGGCTTTGAACCAAAATCCTGGTGACTACAGTACATGTGACAGTCTCAGAAGAAAAACTTCAAACTGCTGAGTCATATTTGCCTCAGCAACAGAAGCAGCACAGTTGTTCAGTCAGCCATATCTTTGCCTGTTTTATCATATTAACATTTTAGAATGTGTATTTAAATGCAAAATGCACATAATCAAAGATATTAAAATATAAAGGTATGGGTAAAGGCATGCAGATAGCAATGTCATATATGGGGAACAGGAAAAAAAATAGTGTTAGAAACACAAAAGAAGAATCTAAATCTGTAAATAAATAAACAAACAAAATATTTTTCCCTGAGATAATATAGAACATCAGTTTATACAGTCACACTGTTGACACTCAAAACTAAGGGGCTATTAGCCTTTCCCAGTCAATGTGAACATTTTGTTATTTAGAATAGCTTCCTGCAGAATTTTCAAACCAAATGAAGCAGCCATATGACAATGAATAAAAATCTAAAGAAAAACTGAATAAAGAAAAGTAATAATAAAAAGAGAAATGTGGTACTCTCTTGGCATCGTCTGCATGCACAAAAGGCAGGTCACAGATAGCACAAAGACAGAGCTAAAAGGTTTAAAAGTGGTGTCCAATTCACTTTTAGTTATCAATCACCTTAATAATTTCCACGCTCTGTCCTTTGGCCTGCTGTAACCCAATTTCAGTGTCTCATAAGAATGCGCTGCTACAACCCATTGTTTTTGTCTTTCACTTCCCCCAGCAGTTCCCTTTGCCTTTTTCTCTGTGAGCTTTCAAACAGCAGATCTGTCTTAGCCACTTCAAAGACCTCCACCACAGTATCACATCTCGTTTACTCCCAGTCTCTTTCTTCCTGTTCTCTGTCTAAATTTTTCTCAAGGCTTACTCTTAATCATTTCCTTTCTATGTTTTCTTTTCACAAGTCACATCTATCTGGAGCTCCTTACTGCAGAAAATACACCTCTTGCTACACTAACCCAGTGAGTCTGGAGCATACGTATTTAAGAGCATCTTAACAACTTCAAATACACCATAATATCTGTATGTTAAAGCTTTTGCCTCTTATTTCCTTTTTTATGATTTAGATATGTTTCTTGGAACAGAAACAGCATTTTCCTCTGTAAGAATTTTTTACTGAGAAAGTATAGCAAACTGTCAACACCCAAAAAATAATGTCCATATCCTGAAGTTCTCATTCATGAAAAATCTCTCTAGCCTTCAATGGGAATTTTCCTTCCTCTTGAATTGACTTATTTAAAAATAACATCTTATGATCTCCTAGGCTTTTGTCATAGTCATCTTTTCTGACTCTAGTTCCACTGGGTCATTATAAAACCATTAGACTGGGTTTTTCGAAGGAGCTTAAGGATTTTAGGCGCTTAAGTTTTACTGAACTTCAACTGACCTCAGGCACCCAAATTTGGGGAGCTGCTTGGTAAGTTCCAGTCTCAGTACTGATCTCCTGGGTTTGCCTCCTGAATTCTAAATTTGTGCTGGGGAGCACAATGTTTGAATTGGGTTTTGCTTCTGAAAACTCACACCCTAAAAATTCCCACCATAAAAGAACCAGGGGGCAAATGGAGATTAATCTCAGAGGAAATCAAGGCCACAGTCTTTGTGCTTTTTGATTTTTTTATATCACTGTACACTGAGTCATACCCAGCTAGTTCAGAGTTCATCTGCAACACAGAAGTAAAATTTAAAGCTATCGCAGCCCAAAGCCAAAATTATTAACAGCTTTGAAGTGCTGAAATTTGGGAAGTTTCTGAAAGATATAAAGAAAGCAGCGAGATTTTGCAGCACGTGCAATGTATTTAGGTAATCTAAAAAGAAACATCTACAATTTATAAAAAAATTCTCTAAGTATCTTTAAAAAATGACTTGATAATATTGCTAAAAGAAATTATAAAAAGGAGTTGCTTGTTTGGAGGTGATTTTCTGCTTGCAGATATTTACTGTGGACTTTTGGAACCATATTTTATGGTACTATCAGTTGAATCATATAAGTGATCTCTGCAACACAA